GTGTCTGTCCTTCATGCCCGTGAGCTCAATAGTTACCCACGCTGGTCCCCACAACCTTGCATAATGTCCTGTCACACCACAGAGCTTCTGTATGGCTTCGGGTACTCCTTTGTCATCTAGCGCCTTGATACTCACAAGAGTTTGCTGAGATGCAGAATCAATGACAAAGTTGCACTTTTGGCCATCCAGCTTTCCTGTCACGTAGACATTATGTGTACTTGCCATTTTACACTTAGCTGTTTGGACTTTCACGATGGGGGTTGGTGGGCGTCCCTCAGCACCAACAAGTACTGGTTTCCCCGAGGTTGACTTATTGGTAGTATTCTTCTTGCACTGGCTCTTTATATGTCCTTGCTCTCCTCAGTTCCAACAACCTTTCTGGGTAGTAGCCTTTCCTGCCATGGCATCTTCCCTGTGTTGAAGTTGCCGGCATTGAGCTCTCTTGTGCTCCGGTTTGTTACAGTGCCAGCAAAGTCCCTCAAACTTCTCGGAAAGCTACCTTTTTCTGCCCTTGAATCCTGATGACTGTACCAACCTTGGTTCCTCTATGCTGGACTTAATGTAGGATTCGAATTCAAGAGCTCTGGCCATCGCATCTTGTATAGTAGAGGGGTGTGCTTGCTTTACTTGTATCTTGTAACTTGTTTGGACAGTCCAAGGCATCTACAAACTGATTTCTCAGCAACAATTTGAGGAGATCGGGTGGCGCAGTTGGGTTGGCCTTGTGTGCCATACTTTCCAAATCCTGTGCCAGCTCTTGAAGGCTCTCCCCTTTAGCACGGACTCTCGTCCTAAACCTAGCCCTGTAGACTTTGGACTAATTTTGAGTTCCATACCCGAGTTCTGGAACAGCTACCAGTGCTTTGTAGTTGTGCCTGTCGTCTGCTGACAACTGTCCAAGTATTTCCAGTGGTTGTACCTTCAGGCTCATTGCCAGGTACACTGTTTTCTGCTCCTCTGTCCATCCATTCGTTTCTGCCATGAGCTCAAATTGTGCTCTATATGCTTCCCATGGTACCTTCCCATCGACTTCCTGTGGCTTCCTTCGTACTAGATCACCCCCATTGCTGACACTCATGTCTGGAATATGACTTCTGACAGGACTGAAGACGTCTGCATTAGGGTTTAGCTGCCAGGTCTGGGAGGAGCTTCTTTTTGTCTGGGGCTGATTAGGTCCATGGTTAATATATCCTCCCTTTGTAAAAGACGGTAAATCGTCCTTTCACCTTGAAATTGACTAATCTTTACCATTTGAACTTTTTGTTTCCTTTCTTGTTCCAGTTGCCACTGGTGCTGGTTTTCTTGCCAGTGCTGTAGTCTCTCTTCTTGTTCATTTTCGTTCTTCTTCAACCACTGCTGTAGTCTCTCTTCTTGTTTCTTTTCTTTTTCCTCCAAAAACTGCTGTAATCTCTCTTCTTGTTTCTTTTTTTTGCCTCCAACAACTGCTGTAATCTCTCTTGTTTATTTTGCTGTTCGAGCTGCCACTGTTGCAGGTTTTCTTGCCACTGCTGTTGCCTCTCTTCTTGTTTCTTTTCTTTTTCCTCCAAAAACTGCTGTAATCTCTCTTCTTGTTTCTTTTTTTTTTGCCTCCAACAACTGCTGTAATCTCTCTTGTTTATTTTGCTGTTCGAGCTGCCACTGTTGCAGGTTTTCTTGCCACTGCTGTTGCCTCTCTTCTTGTTTCTTTTCTATTTCCTCCAAAAACTGCTGTAATCTCTCTTCTTGTTTCTTTTTTTTTTGCCTCCAACAACTGCTGTAATCTCTCTTGTTTATTTTGCTGTTCGAGCTGCCACTGTTGCAGGTTTTCTTGCCACTGCTGTTGCCTCTCTACTTGTTTCTTTTCTTTTTCCTCCACAACTGCTGTAATCTCTCTTCTTGTTTCTTTTGTCGTTCTTCTTGTTTCTCTTGTTTTTCCCCCAACAACTGCTGTAATCTCTCTTCTTGTTTCTTTT